GTTCACTTATAACATATGCATGCATTTCGTATACTTAACTATATCTTTAGTAAATGTAAAATCAATATAATGTATGTCTTGTATGTGTTTTATCTATTTTTATAGCAATTTTATATGTTTTCACTTCATTTCTAAATTCTAATTTCTACGTTCTGCTGTATTAAATAATGTTAGAAATATAAAACTGTTGTACTCTGAACCGTAAATATGTGACGGCCTACAAAAATCTTCTATTGTGATTGTTTTATAAAAATGACATACGGAAAACAAAACGATATTTCATATTCGACGAATTTTATCTAAATAAAGTGTCTAAAAGAATGCGTTATTCTTTCGAAGTAACTTATGTATATCGAATTCACATATTTCCTTATGAAGCTCGATAAACGCTAAAGCCATAATTTACGCAGCAAGAGTTAGGGTGTTCGCTCACCGGAAGTAACACGGACTGAGCATCGAGAGGCCACAGTGGTTTCTCTGGTTTTGGTCTGGATGCGAAGTAAGCCGCAATTCCGGTCACCACGAGAACACCTGCAGCGCCGCTTAGGTAAGGCAGGTAGTCTTCGAACTGCGACTGAAACACTTCATATGCGAGCAGTATTTTATTATTATCATCTTTATTATTGCTATTGCTATTGCTATTGCTATTGCTATTGCTATTCCTATTGCTATTCCTATTCCTATTGCTATTGCTATTGCTATTGCTATTCCTATTCCTATTGCTATTGCTATTGCTATTCCTATTCCTATTGCTATTGCTATTGCTATTGCTATTGCTATTGCTATTGCTACTAATATTATTGTTGTTGTTGTTGTTGTTAGTATTACCATGATTATTATTGTTGTTGATATTTTTATAGTAACATTTTGTTATGCAGTACTTCTGAAAGAGACTCGTGGCTGGTAAAAACGAGAAGGGGGTGGGAAGGGAGATGTAGAGGAAATAATGTACAATATACGGAGCAGATTCTGTCTGTATATCTGTATATTTTTATTCAGCTGTTTTGGAAATACTATAAATGAACACTTCAATTTAATATATTATATATTTAACCAGTTTACCAAACATATTAATTACAAAACTGAACAATAAAAGAGCATAGCCGGATAAAATGGTCAAATGTGTCCCCCGATCAGATTGACTTTTGTTTAGACTTTCGATAGGTCATTGATTGAAAACCTTCTCAGTCAATTTTTAAGCACTTACCACCACCACAAAGGTAGTTACAGGGAGAAATCGAATTAACAGATGATTCCTTTAATTACAGAATTAATATAAAACTCTGATGTCTGACAAACTTTAATTTAAACCATCCATTTATTTTTTCATTTTTGGTGGTTTTCAATCTTTTTGATTCTGTTTAGCCCTTACGAAAAATCCGAGAAAAATACACAGTAATAATCATACGTAGCCCTATTAGGATAAAAATGTGATTGTGTATAGCATCTGCGATAATTAAAATTTCTATTTAAAATCTAGTAGGTACAACTTAAATTTCTACAAAAATACTGTTATAATATATATTATTATTAAAGATAGAAATTTTCCATTTTTATATACAAATATATACGTACTCACTTGTTAGCCCTGGCCAAGTTA